TACTGTAACGATTTGTTTTTTAAATAGAATAAATAGCTTACAAATGAATACATCGAAAATGCTTTATTATAAAGAAAGACCATGTTCTTTTTGAAAATTCTGAACTTTTTATTCATTTCAATTTGATCTTGGCTTTTTGATTATAAAGTCTATTAATTAGAATGTTGTTAATTTTTTAAAAAAAAAAAAAATCGAAATCGAAATCAAATAATATCATTTTTTTTTTTTTTTTTTTTTTAATTTTTGATTTACAGTATATAATTGAAGTTGATTTTTTAAAATTGAGTTTCAAAATGTTTCAAGATGCCAAGATAAATAGGATTTAAATACAGTATATTATTATTTATTTATTTATTTATTATTTTTTTTTTTGAACAAAAATAATGATAATGATAACGATATTTTTGGTAATAAAAATTTTGTTGCGAATTTTTTTTCTTTTTTTTCTTTTTTTTTTTTTTTTTGTTAGATTGTGTAATCAAAAGTCCGTAACACTTTGGTGACTAGTTTTTAGTAAACAAAACGAATAGGCAATATTAAAATGTGTTGTTATTTTTGAAAATTTGCAAAACAAAATAGGTTCCTTATCACAAATACTGTATACACTTTCAAATATACCAGATATACCTTTTTACTGTATGTACATTTTTTATCGTTCATAATGTGACATAGTGTGATGCCAAAAATTAATGACGAAATACAAATGTGTTCTTTAAATAAAGGGTTTCGCATGCTATAACTCATGCATCTACTGTAAAAACGAACCTAACATTAGAATTCGATTAGATATAATAGGATAAATAGATATCGATATCTTTGATTTGAATTGATGCCCAATTGCTTCTATTTTTAAAGCTCAGTTGTACCATGAGAATTTCAAAATTTACAATACATACCGTATTCATCGTAAAAATATCCTGGCGTCTCGCGATACATGAAACATTGCCGATATGAAAGAATTTTTTTTATTATTATATGCCCATCACCTGCAAACAATTATTTATTTCGGGTTTGTTTTTTTATATGTCGATATTTATAATTCGACAATTTGAATCCAATAATATAAAACTAACTGAATTAAAATATACATTAGTAAGCTATAATGTTTCCAATGTTAAATGAGTTGCTCACGGACTCATCGACCTTTGTCAGACCATACACATTCAGCACATTTCAGGATTAACATGTATTGTACGACAATATACAGTGTACAGTACGTACGCATGTGCATATAACCGAGAAAGTTGCGTGCGTACAATTGCCATACAAAGTTTTTACACTTTTATCCCCCAAATAAAAAACCGTTTTATTTTCGTTACACATCATCGTAAGTTTTGCCATCAGAAAGTTGCGCAATGGATTTTCCGGATTTCCATGAAAATTTTATTGCTGCCATTTTTATCCACCATAGTCATTCCATAAGAAGGAGCATATCATATATTGTAATTCATTTTTTTATTTTATGCGACCTAAAGAAAAGAATTTTCTTGCATGTACTTTGTTTCGAACCTTAAATATAGTTGGACACTCATTCTCTAAAACTCTTTGTTTTATTCCCCTTTGAGGCAACCATCTCTTTTCCTTCTTTAATTTCATGCACTATAATAATGAAAACGTGTTATCATTATTTTCAAAGTTTCCCAGGACGCGTCTATACACCTAAACTGAGAGCGCGTAAATCCCACGCATAAGGATGGGAAATTTTAAAATTTAATGTGTGCATGCATACAACCGTAGTATGCGCAGCATTATACGCGTAACGCACCGCCAATCCTAATTTCAGGGTCATTCATCTTTTCCCTTATTACCCTAATTGGTTAGGCCTTTCACGGAAATTGAATGTTCTGGAATTAGCTGACCGATAGAGTTAACGGACAAAAGTATATCGTGATAGTTATGATTTTTTACGCTAACCTTATATGTACATCAAAAAATTCCTAATCGGGATTATCAATGCGGATGAACCGGCACTCGGGATCACTGCGCTCAATCACATACCACTTTTCTTTTCAATACGCAATGTTTACGGGGTATCCTGTGAGCACATGAAATGTTGGTCTGTACATATACGGATGAATATCGTAACTTTGGAAATCGTGTGTTGCGTTCCCGGAATCATTCTTGTATGAATGAGACCTCGTATCAGAAAAAAACTATTTAAGTTGTTTGACGCACTTTAATGATTAATTCAACGAACATTTGGAATTTTGATAGAATATATAATTTTTGAAAAAAAAAAAAAAAAAAAGAAAAAACGATCGAATTTACCTTGCGACTTTACAGTATTCCGAAAATCCCGGTATTTTAAAAATAATAATCACAAATGACCGAATACGATGATATTTCGCCAGTGATAAATAACAACACCCCTTTTGAAATAAAGTCGGGTGACGAATGTTCACCCAAAATATTTGAAAATTTCACGGGATCCCTGACCCGTCTTGGCCATTCCCTCCTGAGTTCCAGTTCAGTGAGGAGAGAGGATGACGTTTATCTCGATATCGAAAAAATTCCTGTAGAAAATAACATTGATATCATCTCGTGTTCGCCTGACAATAATTTTGTGGCGAGTTGGTGCAGGGAAGACGGCATTTTGGCGGTTTGGCCAATCACGAAGGACCGTGTTGGCAAGCAATTGTCACCAAGCTTTGCGGTGAAATCACCTTTCGACAAAACGAACGTGGACGGCTCAAAAATCTATATTTCCGTGTCGGAAGAAGGGAAATATGTTTCAATATCACGGATAAAAATTCTCGATGGTGGTGAGGAGGAGACGCCTAACATGGAGAAAGTGGAGAGCGAAAGAATGAATGGGAAATCATTAGATTTCATATCATCATCATCGTTTGTGGTATACTCCACTGCCAATTCATCACAGCCTCCACATGACTCGAAATTAAGCGATCTAGAAATATCGGGACCATTAATATTCGTGCCCCATTCGCGATTGGTCTGCTTTACGAGACACGAGATGTACACATTCTCCACCAAATCATGGAAAATTATTCACAGTCTTCGCATTTCACAGTTGATTCGCTCGACGCCTGGCTATAATCATGAAAGAAATCAATTCCTGTTGGATGTTTACGACATCATGGCGGATAGCCTGAGGTACGGCTATTTACTCTGGTCAGAAAGGGATCGAGGATTGAGCGTTTGGGATTTGGATGGAATGTTGAAACAATGGTTTTACGTTGAATCCAAAAACGATTCACCCAAAGATTGTCTACATGCCATCTCGAAAGATGGCAACTTGGTAGCTAGGTACGCGCATTCATTTTTTTTTTCTTCCTTCGTTCAGTCTAATCACGTGATAATAACTGGTCTAACTCGGGCCAAACAATAAAGGTTCCACGAGAAATTACACAGCGTACTCAGCATTTTCCACACACCCACAGCATTAGCCGTGGTCGACATCGATGTACCAAGGACCACCTTTCACATCGCCTTCCTCCACAAATGCGATAGGATTGTCGTATGCTCACGCGAAAACACACATAGGAAATGTGTTCACGTGCAGGTGTTTTGTTGTTGGAGTGGGTTACTTGTAAAGGAAGACACGTATTTTAACATGGATGACAAAAGTCCCCTTCTGTTCAACGGAGATTGTTTCGTGCAAGCGAACGAAACTGAACTCATGGCGCTACCTTTATTCCAGCGTGATGCAATGGTAAAAGTTTAACGTCTTTCTCTCACAAGCGAGTGTCTACCCACTGAGGATGGTCTTGTGATCTCCACCATGTTGGACCGAAATCATTCCATATGCTGGGGTCAGATCCACAACGACGATGATGTCGAACTTTGTCGATTTAAGTTCGAACCGTGGAGATTTTGCGGGAGCTCCGAGGCATTCATAGCCTGGCTCGACGAAACGAGATTTTTGATGGCCGGGAGGGATAGCGTACAAATATACCAGATAAAACCCCGTGGAAACTTACTGAGAACAGAACTGCGGTACATCTGGACGGTGCCGATTGCACAAAATTCGGAAATTAAATATCTATCGCTGGAAACGATGCAACGCCAAGATGAATCAAATTATCTTTGTCTAAAAGTGCAATTGATGAATCAACATGAGATAGGGATTCCCCTCCCCGCGAAGGATGATGATCTCGATTGCAAGACTGTGTCGGACGCATGCATGGCGGTGCACTTTCTGAGATTGCAGTTTGATGAGGAGAGAGACTTCGATCAATTGGCGATCAAGAGACAATTACAGAAGCTAATCGAAAATGCGGTGGATAAGTATCCATCTGCTTTCAGTAAAATTTCCACTGGAAATGGCGACATCATCTACCCGATGGAAGATTTCATATTGCTTTCGTGGGATAATATAGTGAAGAACATACTTGACTCCAATCAGTATATTCCCCTCTTTCACAACGAGGAACAGTCCGAAAGTGCTTTGTCATTACTAGTTGAGCTCCAAAAATCCGAGTTAGTCGAACAAATGATCTCTTACATCATTAAGAATGTGCGTCAGCGTTATAATCCGGCGCGCGCGAAGTTTGCAAATTCCTCGGTGGAAAGTTCAAAGACACGGGTGCAACAACCCGGCTTTGCTTGGACGATTGGAAAGGTGTTGCTGGATTTATACAAATACTATCCTGATAAGGGTGCCAGAGTGTTAAAAGAGTGCAGCTACTTTACCACATCTCTTGAGACACCAGTAAGAATTCTAAAAACAAATCTGGGAAGGACGTCCGTATACGAGGAAAGAAGTTTTCTTCCAGAGTTAGCCGGTGTCACGAGAAAAGCTCAGTTGCCAAAAGAGACGTCGGGGGCTCACAGCAGGCGACGAAAAATTATGGATTGGCTACGGGCTACCTTTTCGAGAACTCCCAAGGTCGGGAGCGACGAGGATCCACAAAAATCTCGAAACAACAAGAAGATGACGGTGTATAGTAGTTCGTCGTTCATCGACAACAGCAGGAAATATCCGATAAACAAGGAAAGTCACGTGTATCGAAAGCAGCTTCGTAAAAAACGGTTGGACAACTTGCAGAAAACTCATCCGGCAAAATTGTGCGTGGTGCCGTTGCCAGATTTTTGCGTTTACCCATCCATTCCCAAGGTTTATGACGATGCGACGTACTTTCAGCGGGTGAAGAGGTTTTGGAATTTGTATGTCACTCCGTCGCAGATGAGTCCGTTCGCTGATATTGCCATAAACGGACCGCCAGAAATGTTCAGTGAGGTTGCCATGGAGGCCATCATAAAGTTCAAGTGGTATGCTCAAATCTCAAATTTACCATGTGTGTATTTTATTCGAAATGGTTGCATGCGAATACTCATGTCAAAACACAATTTAGGGAAAAATTTGCGAAAGCCTATTTCCTAAACTCCTTCATTCTATACCTAATATACGCAACTCTTTTCTGTGTAACGGTCAGCATCGACTACGACTTGGTGCCCAGCGTATCGCAAAAAATAGAAACCTGGAAGGATGTCTTGTTCATCATTGTCACCATCGTCGCCATTTACCTGCTGCTTCAAGAATTTCGTCAAATGGTCGGCCGTTGGAAAATTTATTTCTCGAGCTTCTTCAATTACATCGATCTTGCTTCATACGGTCTACCGTTGGCTACGTGTTTAATGGTAGTCGCCGCTAAAAGTGAACCACCAGATTGGTTGAAAAGTTTTGCGGTGCTTATGGTGTGGCTTAACGCTTTGTTATTGTCGAGGGCTTTTGCGGGACCGGGCAAATTCATTGCAATTCTGATAGAGATCGGGAAAAAGATTACCCCGTTGATATTAACGTTGTCCATTATTGTCATCGTGCGTATATTTCTCACTCTGCCAACTTCCTAATTTCCATGTTCACCTAACCTCACCCACCCTTTACCTTTCCATCTCAAAAACAGGGTTTCTCAAATGCACTATTCGTTCTCCTGCGCAACACCGATTCAAATGATATTACACTTGGTTACAGCGGATCGATCACAAATTCCTCATCAGGCGATGTAATCGGAAGTCTAACCATGCGACAAGACGTCAGAACAGACACCAACCAATGGACAAGATTTGATGCGGCCCTGTTTGCCACCTATAAATTCCTGGGTATAGGATGGGAAGCTGTCACCACCGTCGAACCTACATGGGCTCTCAGAGTTATGATGGTGTTATTCAGTAAGTCTTTGTTTGCTTGAGTGTGGTAGAGAACAATCAGAAGCCTTTTCTAACTTCCAAATTATTACCCTTATGATAGGTTTCGTGACCGTGATTGTTATATTGAACGTTCTAATCGGTCTCATAACCGAAGTGTTTGTTGGCAGCCTTCAGGTGGGACGTCAAGCTTGGTTAAGGCAACGCGCGGAACTTATAGCCGAGCTTGAATTATTTTTCATTTCGCCCAGCAAGCGACTAAAAGCCAATTGGTTTCCCCACCTCGTATACTACGAATCTCACCTCGACTCCATAAATAAATGGCAACGTAAACTGTATCAAGAGGAAAGAGGAGATTTGGATGTGGACTTTGTTAAGGGTGAACTAAAGACGGTCAGGGATGACCTTCAGGCCGAATTGAAAGAGTTGAAGGGAATGGTGGGACACATTAGGATTGCGTTGGGAGTCGGAAAGATACCCAGTGAGGGGGATTCGGCTGGAGGAAGTAAAACCGGAAGTAACCGGAATAGTGCCATCTCGCTTCAATGACATTGAGAATGCGGGTCGGACGCACTTGTGCTTAATTTCAAAGAACAATACATAACGAAAAAAAAAATAATAATAATTTCGAAGTTTATTTAACCTCTATTTAAATTTCTGTAATTCCTGTACTGTACAGTACGTAGTTAGTTAGTTAGATCCATGAAAAATTCTTAATTATCATCACAGTAATACTGTAATATAGTAAATAGTCAATAACGACGCATTTTTTTTTTTTTTTTTTTTTACTGGGGAGTGACAAAAATAGTATAGAATTCTTCTATGAATACATTTATTAAAAACACTTCAGTTTGATGTTAGGTCGAATCTTTTGACTGCATAAATATTTCATTTTTATTTTGTTATTGTGAATGTTACAACTTTCATGATGTACATTCCCATAAGTTTGTACAGCACGTACAGTATGTTCAATTTATAGACCTGTGATCAAAGGTTGCACTGACCACATTTAGGAGGAGAGCCGGAGGAGGAGAGATTATTCGAACTTAAATCACACTGAGCATAAGTCCTTTGACATATGCCTCCCGGAATAACACCGGTCAAGGAATTTTTAAGAAGAAATCTGTGAAAAGAAAACGAGAAAATATTGAACATCAATTATTCGAAGCAATGTGAAATAAATAAATAATTCCAATATACAGTACATGTATATATATATATATACTGTATATACTCACAATGTGTTCAACGACATGTCACCTACGCCGCTGGGTATGTTTCCATTGAGCTTGTTGGTACTTAAGTCCAACACTTTTAAATTGGTTAATTTTGTAATTGACGACGGAATGTTGCCGGTCAAGTCATTCGTAGTTAAAACCAAAGAAGCAAGATTGCTTAACGTGGATATGGAGTCCGGGATCGAACCGGTCAGATTATTAATTCCCAGGTTAATCAAGTTTAAGCTTGGGAAGCTTGTCGCGCTTATGGAAGTGGGAATGGGACCGTTAAGTTTATTTCCTTCGAGGTTGCTGGGATAAACAATTCGAGAGTGTTTGGAATTTTTAATTAAATTAATTAATTAATGAGGGAGAGTAAATTTGGTGAAGTAGCTCACATTGATTTCAGGGAAACGAGATTCATTAAAGACTGCGGTATGGTCCCCGTCAACGAATTAAAACTGAGGTCACTGATAACAATTTGTACATCTGAGTGATCAAATTACGAACGGAAGGTAACTTAAATCATAGACTAAATCATAGAGACAACATACAGATTTTGAAGATTTGATTTCAATGTCTTGCTGTTTCCCAGAAAGTCGGGGATGTTTCCGGTAATCCCTTGCCCCGATATGGTCCTATTTGAAAAAAAACAAAGTCAGTCACCGTTAAAATTATATATATATATATTTTCTTTTTACTATTAAAACTTCATACATACAACGTGGTTAATGAAGTCGATCCAATGGAGGGGGGTATGGAATTGCCGAGTTTAGGGTTCTCTGATAATGTCCTGTTCATGTTGTGGTTAGTGAAATATGAAATCAAAAAATAAAGAGAAAAGAGCTCAAATCCGAAACCGATATAAACAACTCACAGTGTCTTCAAGGAAGTCATATTATCAAAGGTGTCCGGAATATTTCCGGTAAGTCCCGTAGAGACGATGTTGATTGAATTCAAGTTCGACAATTGAAATATCGTTGTTGGAATCGCCCCACCTGGAAACATCCCGTTGCCGGCTATTGATCTGCAACAATGGAAAACAAACGCATTAATCGAATAGATTGGTAGAAATGAGAAATTGACCTGAGCACCTACAAGTTTTGTAGCGTAAAAAGATTTCCTAGATCATCGGATAGCGTGCTGGGAATATTTGGATTCATTAAATTTCTGAAAAAAAGGTTGTGGATTAAGAATCAATACAATAGCATACAACCGGGACTTTGAAATTGGGATAATACGACTAGTTGAATATTGACTTTTTAAAAAACAAGAGTAAGGATACAATCCGGTAATCCTTTGGTTTTTATCACATGTGACGCCACCCCATCCGCAGAAATTGTTGTCTTGCATCCAATGCAGGTTTTGTTCAAAGGAGCTTTGATTTACTGCATTCGCCCAAATGCCCTTTAGAACGCAAAAGGTACTCACGTTGTAAAAGACATTTGGGTCATTTGTGCAATAATCACAAGGAAATTCTTTCGGGAGAGTACTCCCCAGGGAGCCGAACAATGCAACGCACACCAGTGACTTGACCTTTAGGTCATCTGGAGTTAACGGTGCACTGGTGTTCCATTTGTTTCCACCATTTCCATTATTCCCATTATTCCCATCTCCCTCGTTTCCATTTCCTCCATTTCCGCTTTCCCCGCTAATTACTGCGGTATCATATCTCAAACACTTCACGTCCAATATTATGACATTTATAAGCAGAAGCAATATTAATATTATTAATAATATTATTATACAGCACAACCCTCGATCATTCTTTTCATGATAATTATTCTCGATTTCAGGGGCTACTCCACGATTCTTTTTCCAAAACCGTAATCTTCTCAGGATTCCCATATTTCCTTTAGAATCTTGTAGGCTAATGGGCACACCGTTTTTGTCAGTGAACCCAAATTCGGCGGTGTTACTTTTGATTCTATCCTTTTTACTTTCGGCCTCCTGTGTCTTTACTACTTTGACTTTTTTTAATTTTCCCTGCGTTTTCGCTTTAGTTGCGCTGCTACTATCACTTTCTTCACTATCCGATGAGAAAGCCGAGGATCCCACGGTGTCCAAAGATTCCGTCCTTATATGTCTATAAGGTCTCTGAGAAGCTAGCAGATTGATATTGCTGTTATTATTGACGTAACTACTATTCGTATAAGACGTAAAAGGATATTTAGGAGACGAAGCTGTTCTTGTTGATCGACTCATGCGTTATCCTATGTAAGTGAGGAGGTAAATAGTATCGAACTACTCTTCAATTTAAGAAAAAAAATAAATAAATAGTTTTTTGATAGTGAATAAAGAAAAAGAGCCAGCTTTTTCTCAACCTTTTAGCAAAGAAAGTGAAAAAAGGACGCAGCAAGGAAAATGATGGGAGTTATGAATTTAAGATCAACCCATGCTACACCATTGCCGAATTATCTGTTCTTTTTATAACATCGTTTATTCTTCAGAACCTTGTAGGGAGACACACAAAGTATCAAAAATGCACTTCATCTCGCGCAAACATCTGGTGATTATTGCCTTTAGGGGAAATTCACACATTCGTTATACCTGAAACATAGTTCATGAAACAAAGAAGCGCACGTACAAATTCTTTAAAAGCCGCTATTAATTAACTTGCAAACAATACATTCACACAATTTAACGGTATCTGGTTACATTTTAGATTACACATTTGTTTAATTTATATGTATGACTAAGGTCCCGAAAATCAGAATGCCGCGTACTAATCAAGTTTTTACACATAAGGACGATCTCATTCTCTCCATCCCACATCGCGGGATTCGTCATCATATGTGTTTCACAATTTCAATGTCCCTACATACGTATTTTTTTTCTGCAATCGTCTTCGAACAATAGCAAAGACAAAGATTTATCGGCATTCCTGATTGGGCCGTTTTTGAATTGATATATTGATATATTGTATATTATTATTACCGGTCCCCTTGTGTTGCGAGCTCTTCACAATAGTATTCAGAACATGCATTTCTGTCAAATGATAGTATTGTGTCTCCGTAAATAGACATGAGCCTATATATAGCAATTTTTCATTAAAATAATGAATCACCCTTACATCAATAGTGTGCATATCATTACAGTACATATAGTACGTACAGTATTTCGTCTTCAATATACTACAGTGTATGCGTAAAAAGGTGTTGTTCATATGTTGTATGATAAAATGTTGATTTATTACAATCACACAATTTTGTGTCGATAAGGCAGTTGTCTTAGTTATTTGTGTGGGTTTGTGGAGCCGTAACCGTCCCGCGCTTGGGCCAAGACAATTTGTTTGTTCCTCAAATGTAATCCTGTCGCTGAATGATCAATCAACCGCACAAATAAATTTAGGCATTGACACTAAAATAACACAAGGCACTCTCCGCTAACAATATCCAAACTCCTACAAAGGAAATCGCGGTATTTGGCAACGTCCAAGTTTGGCCTCCCGCTACCGTCAACCTACGTACGGTATCCAGCAATTATTGGAACGATGATAAATAAAGCGTTTTGAAACTTACTAACCAATCTTTCTGTTATCGCAGTTATTGATATGATCAGAATTTGGATTTCAAAGAGAATACATAATTGGCAAAGGATAGCATCTTGTTCAGGCTTGTAATTACTCCAATATTTAATAAAATCATGGTCGCTGCCTCGTCTTTGAAAGTGGTTACAGACGTCAAATCCGATGACGGAAAGTAAATTGATCCCAGCAATAAACAAGATTGAGGTAATTTCGCCATCGAAACAATCAATTAAGCGATGTCACCATTAACATTCATAATAAATCTCTGTGAAAAGTTTAATGGCAAATGTACACTCACCTGCCAAAAGTATCCGATCACATGTTGATCATCACGAATTTTTTATTAATACTATTAATATTTTGTTGAATTTCCAACTATTTATTACCTGAATTCTTCCTGGTACACTTTCTATTAAATTTTCTAAATTTTCTAATTGGATTTGTTTTTATTCTTCTTCTTTTAAAATAATCATTAATTCTATAAAAATTTTTGGATAGGGATCATGTTTATAAACTCTTTTTTCAAAAATATCACATAAATTATTAATTGGATTAAGATCTGATAATTGTGTAGACTAAGAAACATTTGTTATCAAATTATTTTCTAACCATTGTTTAACTATTTTTATTCAATGAACTGAAACAATATCATTTTGAAAAATACTGTATATTCTAAATTATTATCTAATTCATAAATAAATGACAAAAGATTATTTTCTAAGATTTCAATATATATTGATTCTGTTATTTTATTAGAAACTTGAATTAAAGATTCAATCTTATTTTTTGTAAAACATTCACATACTATTATTTCTTGATTTTATTATTAGAATTAAACAATTTATATCATATTTTTCATATAGATATTGTCAAACCCAATGATGTGAATTATTTTGAAACAATAAAAAAATAATATTTATTACTCTAGATTACTATATTCTATTCTAAATTCCAATTTTTTCTAGTATAACATTATTTTAATTTTTTTTTATGATTTTCTTCAGATATTAAAGGTTTTCTTTATCAGCTTAACCATAAAATTCTTTATTATATAAAATATATTAAATAATATAAAAACTTATTATGATTGTTAATAATAGATTAAATTTTTCTATTATTTCATTTAAAAATTATTGTTGATTTTCTTTTACCATTTTTATAAAATGTCTAATATTTTTTTTTATTAATTTAAATAATCTATCAAACTTAGAAATAACAATAGATTATAAATTTATCTTATATCTTTAATAATATTATGAATAGTTATTTTAAATAATTAAGAATATCTTTAATATTATACTCATTATAACTATCTTTCTATAGGTCAATAATTTTGGTTTGCTCAAAATCAACAAGTTTACAAATTTTAGATATTAATTTTTTTTATTTTTGAATAAAGAAATTTGTAACTACAGTTGCTTTCAAAAGTTTGAGTCCACTTACTATATTTTTATTATAAATTTCAGCTTTGACAATTTTTAAATCTTTAATTATACAATCAAAAATTATAAAATTCACATATATTATATCTTAATACTAGTTTTATTTATTATATTTTTTTCAAAAATTTTTGATA